GTCGAGGAATTCCTCGACCATGGCACTATACCGTGCGAGAGTAGTGCCGAGGGTAAACGTAGGCGCGGAGAATACATACGGCTCGCGCATGGAGAATGTGAATGTCCACGCGGGAGAGCGTAACTGATTAGGTTTAACTCTGACTTATATCCATAGACTTATATACAGGAAGAGCTCTAGGGACTGTTGTTCAAAAAAGAAAGACAGGAATAACAAGGGAAATTCTGTTCCCATTCTGGTTAACTGTGAAGTCACAGTGCTGACTCCTATTAAAATGACTGGATTCTTAGTGTTTCTGACGTTGCCCTTGCAGAATGAAACGAGCTTTCGTGAACCTGCGCCTTCAGACATTTCGGTTTGACTCTGAGCTTAGCTTCCATCGAGCACCGTAACAAAAACATGTGGCAATCAAGTAGTGAGAAGTGCTTGCCATATTACTGAACTCGTTAAAATTAAATTGAAGGAGTCTGATGAAGTAGAAAAAGTTACGGCTTTAAAACCACTTCCAAGAGATTTTCCGACACTATTTGATTCAAAAACGGTAGACCCATAAGTAGTAGATAAAAAGGTTACCTCATCTTCCTGGTTGCAAGCCTAGATTTTGCGTGTTCAGCTAAGGGCTTCTTGGATCTCGCCGTATCTGCACCACCTCGCTTGGCCTAAAGTTCAAAAATGAGATGGTGACCCTCAAGAACTACTGTGCTGACCTCATTCACTGATACAGATCGTTCTGAAGAATATCCTCTCCAACTCGTTGTTAGAGTCCGATGCAGTCGCCTTGAAAACCGTGTAATCCCACTGAAATGAGCAAAATAGGAGCAAGGAAGTGAATAGGGAAGATTAACTGATGGAGAATTAGTAAGGATATGTATAAAAGAAAATAATAATATATTACCCTACAACAGTAAAAAGTCACGCAGAGTCACAAGTGATACTCAGTGATAGTCATTGAGTGTTGCATGCTTAACGATTACCTTATCTTTTGCTGGGCTTCAGGAATTCAAACGGTGCTCTAATTTAAAAGTTGAAAATCAAGGCAAAAGGCACAAACATATGACTCACATAATCGTTTTCCAATTGAGCAAGCTTGTCAAGTGCATTGCGAACCATCTGCAAGAAGTCTTGAAAAGAGGAAGGAACAATGAAGGATGAAAAATAGAGCAGTAATATTAATTCAGTTGATGATCACGAAGTCAGCCTAAGAAATTAAGGGCAAAACGAAGTTGCACTTGAAACGGCAGCAAGGTGGAGCAGTAGGAAGGGTCGTGGCTGCCTCACGCACTAACTATAGGTCAGATCACGAAGAAAGCAAATAGTTAGGCACATAGTCCATAAGCATTGCAAGCGAGGGCCAGACGACAATTAGATCAAATAATGGACAGACGTAGCTATTAGAAGTAGGTTAGTAAGATCTGCATGAAAAGGCATGGCATCAGATGGCTGGAAAAATTCCACATATTGGCAACCTTATGACCACACCTAAGCCGTATTCCACTTAATGGTGAACCGAGGATATATTAATGGTAAAACGCATGCGCTCATCTGAAAGAAGCTCTCGGAAATATCAGGGAATGCAAACTTCGGTGCTGGTGCTTTTGAACATCACAAAATTATTTAGAACAAAATTCATGCCAACTTACCCCATCATACGGAGCTCGAGCAAGCGACTTAGCAAAGTATCGTGTGGCAATATTCGTTTCACCGAGACAAGCATAAGACATTGCCATCGACGCCATAGAATGCCAATCGATAGGATTCATTAACAGCGCTTTACTAAAATGGGAATAAAAGGATAAAAGGATAAAGCATTTGCCGTTGATCAATCCCGTTTTGG